AACGATAGGTACAATTTATTTGTTTTCGCTGCAAAATTTTGCATAACTTCATGCTTATTAAACTTAAAATCAAAATATTGGCATTCAAAGGTTATGGCCAAGCATCACAAGCCCATCCCCAGTTCCTTAAATTTGCTGCAGTTGATCTCATCAGGTGAGCTTGTCTAAATGCCAACTAAAAAGTTATCAAGCCACCATATCCTTGATAGCTGAGCTAAAATACTCTTCAAAATACCCAGGAGGCTCATAGATGAAGCAAGAAATAACATCCCTGAGTGTTACTACACCCACAACTTCTTCATCTCCATTAACGACATAAATTCTGGGCACACTTCTTGAAGCCAAGCTGTCTATCACACTACCAAGGCAAGTATCAAGAGCACACGTAAGCAGCTGTGTCCCAGAACTAGGACTGGCTGTCTCTATTGCCTTGATGAAATTCATTACAGTCAGTTCCCTGCATAAATAGTATAGCACTAAGAAAAACACTCTTTGAGGTGGAATCAACCTTATGAAATTTAGATGGCTGTCTGGAAAAGCAATACCTGAAATTCCGGAAAAGCTCGGGATTGAGCAACAAAAATCTGATGTCCTGTATGCTTACACTACCAATAATTTTTCTATTTGAATCCTCAACAACCGGAAGACCACCAATTCTTTTGTCCTTCATGCGTTTGAAAGCCTCTAGGATTAGCTCGTCGCTTTGGATGGTAATGACCTGACATTCAGAAAATAAATATCAGTTAAGAGATCGTCGCAAAGAACATCCATATGTGTAGGGTACTTGATGGTCAAGAAACCTGCAAGACTTCACAAACCTTACCTGAATTTCACATCACTGTGGAAATAGGATCGTAGAACAATTTCGTATAATGTAAAGACCAATATTTACCTCATCATAAGACATGAAAGGAAGTCCAAGATCTGATAGTGGATGAGCAGCAATGCAGTCAAACCAATCCCTCCCCTTACATTGCTTGAGGCCTCTTACAACTGCTGATTGTGTGATGAAGTTCTTGATGTGGAACTTATCTAAATCAATTACCGGAACATTCCTCAATCTATACTTTGAGAGCAACAACAGCACGGTGAGCATGGGACTATCAACTGCAACAGGGAGGAAAGGTGCCCAGCGATACATCTCAACGACAGATTTCACCTGCAAAAGACACAGCAAAACTGTATCCACCTTCTATAAAATGAAATTTTGATTTAACCAGTGATTGTCAAAAAAATAAGACGTCAGCAAGTTGGAATCATTATAAGTTAAGACTACAAAGTATCAGTTTCCCCAAAAATATCCACCATCTCGCTTGCTGCTACAAGAGGAAAAAACGAACTAGGAAATAGACAAAAAGTGTAACTTTTATAAGATGCACGGTTTAAATGGCAGTAAAATTACAGCAAGAGTGGGTATTTACCGTTGTCGATTTGAATGGTTCTTCTTGTCGTAGTAGTCTGTAGAATTGTTCCCCCAGGTGATCTGCAGCTGTTGCAGCATCTCTCCCAACACTCTTCTCTGCAGCTATTCCACCAGCCAATGCAGCGCCAGAAGCAGCAAGTGTCAACCCAGCAATTGCAACTGGACCAGTAGCACCTATAGCTATCGCTCCTAGACCACCAACAGCACCAGCTCCAAGAGCAGCAGCAGTTGCAGACCCAGCAGATAAAGCAAAAGCTGCTAGTTCTGCATTCTCCAAAACCCAAAGTACAACTGCAGAATAATCTATGATTCCAAGATATCTTCCCTTCCAATATGTATCGCTTGCCACCTCTGCATTTCTTACAGGAGCAGCCAAGATATTGTTTCTAGATAAGATTTGAACAGCATCAAGAATAGATGCATCAGATGGAATTTCGATCACTGCATCAAAAAGAGAAAATTTCAAAACTTAAATGCTCTCTTTAGCAAAGTTTGGATAAATCTCTGCTATTCGTGTTAAAAAAGAAATACAATTAGCAAGCAGTCCCCTTCCCATCTGTATTATATCATTAGGTTCAATTAACTTGAACTTTTTACGAAAATGATAATACTGGGCTCTTCCCCAATATCGCTTCAGTGAGACAGGAAGAGTGAAAGAAGTCAGGTGAGTAGTTGCCACTTATTCAAACTCTTGAAAGCTTACGAGATAGTGATAGAGAAGGTGTCTTTTTACCAAGATGCTGATTATTCTTGACATGAGAAAA